GCATGAGGCACCGTCTTCGGTCACATCTTCCTCACTCCACTATGCTTCCCTCCATATCTGTCAGCTAGCGCTGTATCATAGAGACGCGCTTCTTGACGGCAGATGGAGCGCACTCTGGTGAATTTATCAAGTGCTTCGTTAAGCACCCAAGACCAAGGAGTCCTGCGGCCTGCGGAGCAGCAATCTGCCTTTCAAAGCCTCGCAATGTAGAGTTCACGGCCCCAATTTCGAAGGCATTCCACTATCTCCCGCATACAACGCATCCAAACTGTCGCGCGTAGCGTTATAAGTCTGCCGTCTCGCACACAGTTGCCGGAACATCATCTTCTGGCGCTGCATGTGCGAATTAAAGGGATGCCATCAAAAATCCTATGCGGCCGCGTATAATGGGCATTACATACGTACAAGGCGTGCTGCGCCCTCAAGTCCCGCTGAGAAGTATCTGGCGTCCTGCCATGCGGCTCATCCGTGCGCGGAGTGATCTTCGCTTTCCACATAGCAGTGGATGTAGAAAGTTTGATACTGTGTAGCAGCTGGTGTATGCATAATAGTCACACGCAGAGATAATTTTCTATGCGCGATCATCACGTTGCGAGCCAATTGAACGATTGGGGCTTACCGCTTACCTCTTCTCCCAAACCCCCTTGACTACGCGTCTCGAAATGAATGCATGCCATATGGATGCCGCAAAGCTCCAACCCTTTGTAGATATTGCGCCTGATTCAAGCGGCCGTCAGATCTGCCGGGGATACGGATATTCAGAGTGCCGTAGATTCCGATTCCGATAATAGACCCTGAAGCGTGAAGCATGAGTACCAACGCAAGGCGCGACGGACGCGCGGGCGCGCGGGGAGCACCGATACACTGTCTTCGTTTGTTCCGCTGGCCACCGGGTAGGGCAGAGATTGTGACTGCTGCGCACGTTCAACAAGCCGCAGCTCGACATAAGGTAGACAGTATCAAAGGAAGCTTGCTGGCATTTATTGAGTAATGACGTCAGCTTCCGGCGTTCGCTGACCGAGATTGTGTGTGACAGTGGAGACACCATTCACACAGGTTCAAAGTGAGTGGCAGGCTTGGACTGACCCAACTATCAGGAAGCTCGGCGGGAGACTGGCTTCGAAAGCGGCAGGCGGTTGAGTTTGTCTTTGTGGCTTGTGGCGCATCTATCAGGACGTACGAGCGGTCTTCGATTAACCACGAGATGCTTGATAGCTCCAAGTGTCTGTGTGGAGTTGCCATCTCAGAACTCGGATGGAGGCGGGAGCCGGGATGTCAAGGCGAGCAAGCGCCCATCGGAGAGGTGTCCGCCGCTGTGAACAGCCTCGACGTCCGGCCTGTCATACTGCACATCTTGCTATTCCTTTATTTGTCACTACCTTCACATTTCGTTCTGGCTCTGACATGTGAAAGTGCAAATTCTGACTCATGATACTCGGGAGTCATCCAGCCGGTAGATGCCATCGCAGCAGCCGAACACCGGCGGCTTGGATTCATGCGCGACTTATAGGCCAATAACCGGCGACGTCGTTGAGCGTTCGCTCGGAATACGCTTCCTCTACGAGTTTCACGCGGACAGTCTCCCTGTGGACACCGACATCGAGAACTATGGCGGCCCTTGTACAGAAAAATAGCGCCAAATTAGAATATTAGACGCCCATATTAACAAACGCTGTTTACCAGTACTTACCACCGTAACAAATGACTCAACTCCGTTGTGATGTGATCAGCTCGCTCTAATAAAGGTCACTTCAACCACGTCGCGTCCCGGTCGTATTCAACCCTCCCGGTCTCTCTGTAGGCGACACGATTCCTGCAGAGGCATAGTAAACGCGCCGCTACTAAAAGACGCCTGATTTCTACAAGTAAGATGCAGAAGGCGTCATCATTCCGACGCTTCATCGATGAGACCTCGTGTCGGGCACGCGCTCTCATTGGCACAGGCGGTATGAGCCTGACCGAGCAGCAGGTGATGTACACCAGGGTCGGGCAGGGTGCGGTTCAGATACACCCGGCGAAGGCTATCTCAATGTTACAAGAAGCACAGCAGACACGGACGGGAACGTGCACGTGCCGAACGTTCTTGGATAGTGAGAACTCTTCTCCCTAGTGTGTCATGTTGAACAGCTGCTTCATGTCCGTCTCGTTGACGCGTATCTCCAGCTATTTGTCGCACGCGACGTCGGCGATTCTGCGTCCACAAATATGTTAGCATTACAGTATAGGACCACTCCTTGGGACACCTGATCAATATTCGCTTCCCCTTCGTATATCTCTCGTATATAAATACTAAATAAATCGCATTATATTACTACAACATATGAAATACCTCAGTGCAAAGCTGCAAGGCGAAAAGACAAAAGCTGAAGTCAAGGCGAAGGACACAAGATGGAGGTGGTCCGGGACAGCACTCCTTGGGACAGGGTGACTGATGTGACAAAAGTGACAATTTGTGACATGTACCAGCAGTCTTGGCAGATGCAGCAGTCACGCGGCAGTCAAATTTGTCACGCCTCAGTCACGCCTAAGCTCAGTAGAATCATCTCTGATGTATTCCGGCTCGACACTTAGCATCTGAACATCAAGCGCATTTTTCACATAAATGGAGCATAAATTCGAGTATTAAAGAATATCTTTGCGAATTTTAGGCTGACTATGCGACTCTGGTGACGGTCGCAGCACCACTGAAGCCGGCGCGCTTGACAATTTTCGAGGCTTTTTGCTCCCCCACCTACGCTACAATCACCGGATGGCTCTGAGCTTCTAATGGCATATAGATATAGATGCATTATATACAGTAAAGTGGTAGTGATAGGCCCTACAGGCTGTGCGAGGGCAGGAAGTGGAGTCCCAAAAGAGTGGTGCTGTCCCACGGAGTGGTCCTACACTGTACATGCTTCAGGTGTGCGCACGCTTGGCCTTTCCCATGCTTGACATTATATGGTAGCCAAAGTCGCATGTAACCAGCTGCAGTCCTTACGCGTTTGCGCCTCTCGCGGGCGTGCAATACGCCTGTTCCCGTTGTCGTACGCTCCCGCAACGCCGGTTCCTGAAATTATCTCGACAAAATGAAAGCTTTACGCGATCCTGAGCGATGAAGCCCACGCGCGTACCATTTTCGTCTGTTGGCCGCAAAGCGATATCATAGTCATGCGACTGAGCAGAGGTGGGCCATCAAGCAGACTTTAGTCGATTAACCCATATGTCCATTGACCTCCGGCCACTTCCAAGTCACGTCGCTGCTGAGTTAACCTCACAAGGCCTTTGCGTTCCAAACTCTTCACCTTTGACACTGTTAAGTTTGATGTTCATGAGGCCACACCCTGTATCCGATCGCATTGCATACTATTACATCGAATATCGCGTCTTTGCAAACCGGAACAGCTCAGAGCCCGACAAAATGCCTCACGCCAACAGTTCATATCATCCGGGAAGTAGGACAAGCAGCAAGAATCAAGTGCAAGCGACAGAGTCGAAGTCACCTACATCGGAATCCCTTTGATGATATCGGCAGCTAAGACACAGACCGTCAACGTCAGGGCTTACCATCCCGCAAGCAGCACGCACCTTGCTCTGCCAAAGCATACACGAACGCTGGAGCAAAAAACGAGGAGCGACATCAGCACCGACACCGGGAAACATCAGCAGAGACGTGAGAGCGCACCCTGGGAGTGTACAGAGAGCTGAAGCGGCAGCACCGACAGGTCCACGACCCGGATGTTCGTCGTGCCGTACACCCTCAGCTGCGGGTCCACGACGCCGCCGAGGTCCTTGGGCAGCATGGACGCGGCGCCGCATGCGTCTGCGCGTCTCCCGCGTCAGCATCGTGCAACGCACACAAAAATACAACAGAGAGAGCACGCACGCCAGGTGACAAAGATGTTCGCGCGCACGTAATCTAGTAGGAGGCAGAGCAGGGCCGGGGCGCTGCGTCAGCATGCGGCTCGGGGTGCGCGGGGGGTGCACTCGCCTCTGATGCCCTCGTCCGTGGACAGGTCCACCTCGGGCGGGGGGCCCACGCGCGCCTTCGTCATCCCGCGGAACGGCTCCGTCTCGCCGACCTTGAGCGCGAACTTGAAGCCCTCGGCGAGGACGTCGAGGTCGAACGCGTCCGAGAGGAAGCGCGGGTCGATGTGCGGGTGCGCCTTCGGGTCCGCGGAGGCGACGTGCTGCGTTGCGTTGCACGCAGGTTAGCACACCGTGCGAGCGCGCGCGGGCTGGAACAAGGGGGAAAAAAGGGAGGGAACTCACGATGGTGCCGCGCGACCAGGGATGCGTCAGCTCGGCGACGAGCGCCATGTGCGGCTTCGCCGGCTCCGCCATCGGCGTCAGCACGACCGCAGACGACATCATCTCGATGTCCGCGTTGCGCCCGCTCGCCATCAGTTCCAGCTGGACCTCGTACTGCTTGCGCAGGCCGGGCGGGAGCGTCGGGGCGCGCTGCGCGAGCTCCGCCCGCTTCCGCGCGATGAGCGCCGCCGCGTTGGGCGACGCGACGTGCAGCGGCACGAAGGCGAAGTTGTTTGCGAGCAGCGCGTACTCGGTCTGCAGGCCGCTGTGTGGGGTGGGATGGGTGTGGGCGCGGGAGTTGGGGTGAGAGCAAGGACTGACGGGCGCACACACTCACAGACGCTTGTGCACCTCGGCCATGTACTCCTTGTCGGCGAGGATGTGGTTGGTGACGATGTTCCTGTCGTCTTGCATCCCTGCATGTGCAGCATCAATTGAGCGGGGCTCTGATCGGGAACCAGGACAGATGCGCGTACGATAATTCAGATTGGCGACCACGATATGCTCCTGCACGTTCGTGCCGACAGAGGGCAGGTCGAGGACGGCCTTGATCCCCAGGGGCTCGAGGACCTTCGGATCGCCGATACCGCTGAGCTCGAGGATCTGCGGGGTCTTGACAGTCCTGCGGCACAAGAAAGACTTAGCCCGCCGCGCCACAGATCAAAGCAGAGAGACGCACCCAGCAGAAACGATGACTTCGCGCGCGGCCGATGCTGTGTACTGCTTGCCGCCATGCTCGAACTCGACCGCACGAGCGACGATGCCGCCTGCCTCCGTTTCTGTGACGATCCGGCAGGCATACGCTTCTGTGAGAATCTTGAGATTTGGTCTGCCGAGCGCCGGAAGCAAGTACGCCTGACGGGACGGACTTGTGAGTAACAGCAACTGTTCGTCTTCGTTCAACGTTTACCGTCGCAGCGCTGACTCGGTAGCCAGTCTTCGGATCGAGGGTTGACAGCGTCTTCGCAATACCAGTGATCTGGGGGCAGTCAGCATCCGATGAACAGCAGGAACGCTAGCACGAACTTCTCCGCCGAGCTGTAGTGGACGTCGAATCAGCGCCGAAAGGGCTTAAATTTGCTACAGTATGCGTACCGCATCTGACCGTATGTCCAACCCGTTGTTAGCCAAACTCTAGTTGGGGCACGGACGTTAGACTCCAAGACACCGGGCCATAGCTGAAAATGTCTACCTTCTGAAACGCAGAGTCCGCATTGGACCCAGTTGGAACAAAGGACAGTGTGAGATTTCCTATTGCTCAAGTTTTAGTCACTTTTCATTCTGGGGGTAGAGTAGGACTGACCATCGTGCCCGACGGAATCAGGATTGTACAAGTTGCGAAAGTCCTCATCCATAATCGCGGGTGCGGGAGTGCGGAATCTATCAGAAGCGCCTTCAGAAATCACAAAAAGCTAGCTCGTGTATACTCCAAACGTACCCCTCAGCCTTGTTCGCGTACTTCTGGTACGAAGACCAGTTCCACCCGGGGTTCCCAAGAGTCTCAAGAGCTAGCCGTGAGCAGAGCCTGAATGTCAGCATAAGCGCCACTGCACTCAAGCCCGAACGCACCATCGAGCTCTTCGCGAGCGGGCTTGGTGTATGCCATGACGTTGATCGCAGAGCTTCCGCCGAGCATTTTCCCCCTGGTTCGTGGCGACCGTGAATAAGGGTGATGAGTGTGGAATGCAATGAGACAGACCGGTTCCAAGGTATCATGTGCGCGGTCGATGCGTTCGGCTGCGGCGCAATAGGAAACAGCCAGTCATACTCGGGGTTCATGAGTTCCTGGAGGTATCCCACGGGACTCGCTGTGTGTCGTCAGCGGCATGTCAACATAGAAGTCTCGCGGACTGCTCACAGACGACTGGGTCATCCAAGCGCGACTTGCCTGCCTCGAGCATCGCCACTGAGACATTGGGGTCCTCAGAAAGTCGGTTGGCCAAGACGCATCCCGCGATCTGCAAACGTTAGTCGTACAACATAATCGAGGTGGGAGCCTCTTACACCACCGCCTGTATACACATCTTGTTAGTTCTGACGGACAGCTGGTTAAAGTGTCAGCCCACCGATGATGACAAAATCGAAAGTTTGTCCGTCAATGTCAAAAACGGTAGCGAGATCAGGAATGGGTGACATTTCGACAAGCTACGCTGCTGGCGAACGTGGTGTGTCTGAGCAGCCTGCGCTTTAGTATATAGTCACATATCCGTAAGGCGTTCATCATGTATTCGATGTTCGCCGGCAGGGGCATTCGATGCTTGCAGGCTGACGCCGTTTTGGTAGGTTCCCAGAGAAGGCCGACAGCCGCGAGGGAGACGTCAGCTCTCAGATACGACTCAATCTAGGTCCGCGGGGCGGTACAGGTCTGGTCGACTGGTCACACACTCCCAGTTCGGGCTCCTCCAAGTCCGCCTGAGAGAGCACCGGCATTCGCGCCGCGATATGTTTGCTGCTGGCATGAGGTAATATGTCGTTGGGCGACAGTTCGTGCCGGTCATCTCCGCGAAGCAAAGCTAGACCAACCGCGAGCGACATCAGTGAAATTACGTGGTCCGCAGCTTTCCCAAACAGGCGGTAAGCCTGGAGCTCGCCGCAATGTGATGCAATGCCAGACGCCACCATACCGAGCTATGAGCATCGTCGAGACTTGGAAAGAGCACTGGAAGTGTTTCGCTTTGGGCTGAAATGTGAGACATTTCCAGATGTGCAAACTGCGCGACGACGGCGCGTGCGAAAGCAGTCACGTCATGCCTGATAGGCGCCAGTGCCACGATGCCGCGCAGCTGCCGGCGAGCTCATTAATCACTAGGGCTCCGGCGCTCATCCACATCTGCCAGATGGCCTCTGTTCTGACGCTTCATCACATGCGCGAAAACACTTCTATATTACACTGCGGGTTCCCAGGTAAGTACCACTATCAAGCCCTCATATCAAGAAGCCACAGGTTCTGTTCTCCAGATGCGCTAATGCCAGCAAACCCAACCTTCCCTGTACTTCCACACCCACGATACGCCCGACACATACTTGCGTTTCTCAGGCTCTAGCACAGCCAGCCGGGGTCTATCTATCTCTCAGCGTTCCAGCTACTACCCACGAGGTCTCACCAGCGATAAATTCTTTTCGGGTACTTTGGGGTTCTCGACTCTTGACACGCTTGACAGACCTTTGCTCCACCCACCATGGGACATTTCTGCACCAGTCCCTGAAGCCACGATTTCGGAGGCTCTATAGCCCGTTCCCAATGTATACCTCCCATGCGCATGACTTTCATTCTGTACGCTCCCGCATCACGGAGGTTTAAGGCCTATCTCGGGCCTCAGCAGGTGTTCTCACTCTTCCCTCCTGATACGAGAGCCTATGGAGTGTGTGTTCCACCGTGCCACGGCTGATAACGCTGACAGTTGCTGACTCCAAATCTTGCAGGAGAAACAAGGTCCAGTGAACTCTACCTGCAATCTTCAGGCGTGATGTGCCTGCACATTCACTTTGGTCACCTGCCTTGGCCTCCGAGACGCACGTGAGCTTGTTCGGGTCCTTGATTGGCGTGTTTTACCTTGCGAGTGCATGTCTGCTTGTAGAGATCGTCACCTTTATCGAGGCCTCATTCTCCAACACTTCTGATGTACCTAGCCGAACGCTGGAACTCTTCACAGTGAACTGTCGTTCGCCTCGTTGCGATAGAGACTCATCGAGCTTAAATACACTCTGTGACAGTCCGGCTGACTCACTTCCCAGGGCGAGTCATGACCCCGCACTTTACACAGTCACGCCTTATTCGCACCCCGAAGGATCACAGGACGTCACGCGTAGACGCCTTCAAGAGGTGGGTCAACACGAAGCATGGGTTAAGCCTCAGTGTGTTCTTTCCGGTTGACGGCTTTGTCTATGCTTATCCAATCATCCAGAAAACTACCATGATTTGCACCATTACTCGGTCTCCGACTATACTTTCTGGCAGGACCTCTGGCAGTACTTCAACATCGTATATTCCGTACCTCCCGAAACAGTACGCGCTCTGTCTCTCACTAGCATGCTCCGCGCTAACGTAACCTATCAATTCAATGATTAGATCGTAACCGAAGGACGGCTTCCCGAGCTCCGAACATGGTTCCCCGGCGCGCGCCTGAACTACGCCGAGAACGTGCTGCGCTTCAACGGCGACGCCATCGCGGTCACCGCCGCGCGGGAGACGGGCCAGGTCGCGCACTACAGCTTCCGGGAGCTGCGGCGCATGGTGGGCGGGCTCGCCGCGGCGATGCGCGCCAGCGGCCTGCAGGTCGGCGACCGCGTCGCCGCCGTCGTCACGAACTCGGTCGACGCGCTCGCGATCGCGCTCGCCGCGATCAGCCTCGGCGCCGTGTTCTCGAGTATGGCGCCCGACATGGGCCCGCAGGTGAGCGTTCGCAGGCGTCTACCTGTATTTCTTTCTTTTCTTTTCTGTTTCCTTTTTTTTTTTCCTTTTTCCGCCAGCGCTGATGCTCGTCGTAGGGTGTCTTGGGCAGGTACAGACAGACCGGGCCCAGGCTCGTCTTTTTCGACACCGAGGTCGTGTATGCCGGGAAGACGACGGACCTGACAGCCAACATACGCGAGGTCGTGGAGGGGCTCGTGCCCCACGGCCTGCGGCGCGCGGTGCTGCTCCCCAGCACGAAGACTGGGAAGCCTGTGGGCTTTCCGGGTGCCCCTCCAGTGTGGTACGACAGCCATTGCTACTGTCCAGTCTCATATTTATGCTTGCGATTCTAGCCAAACATTGAAAGATTTTGTGGCCAGCGGAGATGGCCGTCCGCTAGAGTTCGAGCAGCTGCCGTTCGAGCACCCCGTGTTCATTGTTTATTCATCCGGCACAACTGGACCGCCGAAGTGCATCGTCCATTGCGCAGGGGTGAGCGCTCCCTTTTCTTACTGCTACGTTGTCTCCTTATGAATAGCCGCCCAGGGTCTACTGCTCAATGGAATAAAAGATGGCGCATTCGGGAGCAATCTCTGCCCAGATCAGTGCTACTACCAGTACACTACGGTGCGTCTCGTTCGTCCTGCTTGTGCACGTAGGTTCCCCGGCCATCTGACGACCGTTTTCTTAGGCTGGATGGGCGGTCTGGAACACTATGATACCTGCTCTTGCTTGTGGCGCCCGGATCATACTCTACGACGGCTCTCCTTTTTTCCCTAGCATCAAGTCAACATTGAAGATTATTAATGACCAGGGGTGAGTACCAGCATCTAACTCTGTCGCATGCACGGGCTGACGAGGCGGCAGGGCGACCGTCTGGGGCACTTCCCCCCGATTCTTCGTAGAGCTTCGCTCCCAAGGCATCACATCATGTAAATGATACACATTCTTAGTTCAGGCCATGCTTATAACCAGCACACGAAAACACAGCGGAGCTCCCGGCCTTCGAATCGCTTCAGACCATCGCATGCTCCGGCTCGCCTCTGACCGCGCCCATGTTCGAGTGGATACAGGGGACGTTTCGGGACGTGTACGTGTACTCTATATACGGCGGCACGGACACCTGTGCTGCCTGTAAGCCCCAAACTCTCGTTCCGCTCCTTAAACTGCGCGCGCCGCTGACTCCTTGCGCCCTCGACAGTCCTGACGGGCGTTCCCAGCCAGCCCACGTACGCCGGAGGTGCGTCTGCTACCCGCGCGCCGCACCGCGCACGGCGCCACCACTGATGCACCTTCTTTTTTTCCCCTTGCATCCCGGCCAGAACTGCAAGGCAAGGCGCTCGGCATGGCCGTCGAGCTCTTTGACGACGCGGGCCGCAACGCCGAGGACGCAGGCGTGCCGGGCGAGCTCGTGTGCACACGGCCGCACCCCGTCATGCCCGTCGCCCTGTGGGGGGACGACGCGGACGACAGCACGCTGCGGAGGACGTACTTCGGCAGGTTCCCCGGTGCGTGCACCCCTTAGGGCGGTGTCCGCGGCTGTTTGCTGACGCGCGCGTGTGGTGTTGCGCGCCCAGGCGTGTGGCACCAGGGCGACTTTGCCGTGAAGAACCCGCGGACGGGCGGGCTCGTTGTGCTGGGCCGCAGGTGCGCCGCCACTTGCGCTCGGCGCCTCCTTTCCAGTCCTGTCTGACGACGGGCTATTTTTGTCTCTTTTTCGTCTTCGTGTTTGGTCTGTGCCAGCGACGGCGTGCTGAACCCGAGCGGCGTGCGCTTCGGGTCTGCGGAGGTGTACGGCGTGCTCGAGCAGTTCCACGGGACCGTCGCCGACACGCTGTGCGTCGGCCAGCGGCGCGCGCAGGACGCCGTCGAGCGCGCGCTGCTCTTCGTGAAGATGCCGCCCGGGCGGCGCCTCGACGACGGCCTCAAGGCGCGCATCCGCCACGCCATCCGGACGCAGCTGAGCCCGCGCTACCTGCCGGCGCACATCTTCCAGGTGGACGACATCCCGGTGCGTCAATGCTGCGCGCGGCCGCAAGGCGTTGCGTTTTTCGCTCAACGAGATGTTTTGGCTGCAGTATTCTGCGAACGGAAAGAAGATCGAGATGGCGGTGAAGAAGATCATATCTGGACTGGACTTCCTGGCTGCCGGGATGGCTCTGGCCAACCCGGATAGCTTGAAGGAGTACTACAAGTACAGGGACTACGAAGGCGCTGTCGCGAGAGAAAAGGCAGAGGAGTCGGCACGACTTTGATATGATTGTATTTGTGGAACTTGCACGATATGGATAGTAGTACGAACACATATGACGCGCCGCGAGTGGATGGATATCGCTCGTGAGCGAACCGTTTTGTCGGAGCGAGGCGCGGAAGATTATTGTGTCTAGCGAGGTGGTAATGGAGACTGCTAGCTCAACGTCGTATAGAAGTGGAAGTTGATGAAGCAGTAAGCACAGTTCGCTATGAACGTTCAAGTCGGTCCCCTAACTCTAACTTCTGATCAAAGGCAGGTGATTTGGAGGAAATTTCGGCTCTGGGAAGGTGTAGACAGGGTGAGACTATGGTTGGCAAAGAGGTGGTATTTCGGTCCATCAAAGGGAACGGCATGAAAAACATTCCAGTATGCATGGTCGTCCTTCATGAACGGTGAGATTCAGTGCAACTATCAAGCTGATTCTTGATTGATGCAAATTTGAGCAGGTCTAGCAGGGCTCACGAATAGTCGAACGGCTTTTCATCATCTCCGCCGGCGAGAGTTGCCATGTTCTGGCCCGGTTTTCACTTCCATCGCAAGTTGTAGCCATACGGTCTATGAACAAGCCAGGATGGTGACATGCGCCTTCGTGACACCGACGTTCGCGTGATCATTAGGCTCCTTCTGGGAAATACACGGGATGGCGGCTGCGCGTACGAATATGTGCGTCTCCCGCAGTGCTCAAGAAAGTAAGCTCACTCGGTAGTGTCACCAAAGCACCCCTCAACGATGAGGCGCTGCGCTAGAAAACCTGCGAAATGACTTGGATCATGATCCGCTTTTTCTACGCGCAAGCTACCACTTTTCTCAGCGTATGGCTGGCACACTTACGGCAGGTGGAAATCACTAGGATACGCAACTCTGATTGTGAGCAAAAGCAGTGCACCTACTGCGCGCGTGTCCTTACCCACGTTCCCTGGGAATACAATCGTCAAAACTGGGGACAGCTTTCGAAGTTCAGCGCTGCAGCGTTGACGTTGAGCGCTGGACACCTAGATACCATGATCCCTACCATCAAGTAATAGAAGTACTTGTAACGACCCACTTGCAGAGATGCTAGCAGGCGCACCGCAAAATTATCTGCTTAAACGAGACACTAACGCACCACAGAGTATTCGGCTACGGTCTATACGCGTGAGAAAGGACTGTATGGTAACGACGACACGATTTTTACCCGTTATTGGCAACTGTTGGTCAATCGAGGCCGAAAGCTCCAGACGCTCCAGGCTCTCTCCATCTGCCTTGCCATACCGAAATGCGAGTTCATCGGTGCGTCGCGCATTTCTTGTCTTTGGCAAGCCAGGCATGTTTGTACGGCGCCGACGACTAGCGCCCATCGTCGCGCCTTCAGAACCCGGTAGCCTGTTCCTCACACCAGGTCCACACCTTCTCCGCCATCTCCAAGTTATAGGCGTGTTTACTCGGCACCTGCCGTCGCCCCCAAGCAGTCAAGTACTGTGCAACACGCCGTTAGCCAAAGCCACTCCGGAGATGTCCATCCTCACCTCTCCGTTCATCTCGAGGGCCGCCTCGGATGTCGCGGCGTATAGGGAGGTTGTGACGCCTAATGTGACCGGGTAGATGCGTGTTTTCTTCACTATCCAGGCGATGATGGGATGCAAATTGCGCAATAGCTCTGAATCGACGCCCCCTGAACAAACGTGGAGCGTATAGTGAGATTAGCCTCGAATTGCAAGACTCGCTGTAGCGACACGCACCTGGGTGGAGGGATATGGCTACGACACCTTGGTCCCCATATCGTCGTGCCAGCTCTGAGGAGATCAGTACCACGCCCTACCATGTTACATGCGTTTATAGATGTCATGGTCATCAGTTGCTTACGGACGCACCAGTTTACTTTGGCCGTATAAGCGGTGTCCTACAAGCTTTTTTCGCGTCGGAATAGCTGCATCACCTTTTTGAAGCGACTCCCAGACGATTCCTTGGCTTGGAGCGGTAAGCTCGTGCGCGTCCGACGACACGGAGACCACGCGCACTAGGCATGGTGCGCCAGACACCTCGCCTTCCGCAGTGCGGAGGAGCGTGGGCATCAGGAGTTTGGTAAAAAAGTAGTGGCCTGTTCCCAAAGGCATGAGCAAGTATGACAGGGTAGACTAAAGCACGAGCCAGACCAAGAACGTGCACTCCGAATTGTATGTCGTATCCCTGAGTGGTTTGGGGACCGATGCCCGGAGAGTACAATACGCCACTGTGACAATGAAAGTGAGCTGGAGATCCGTGAATGAGAAGGGAGCACGTTCTGCGCAGCTCACGCGTTATTGATGAGAACATGAAGCTCCAGCTCTTTCGACATGTATTCTTCCGCAGCTTTCCTAACGGAAGCGAGGTCGGCGAGGTCAATCTTCAAAAAATGGATATCTTTTTTCCCCGTACTCTTGCAGATGTCGTCCATAGCCGCACTAGCCTTTTCTTCCGAGCGTGCAGCAAGGTATACCTTTGCACCACGGGCCACTAGAACCTATCTCCAAAGAGCTCAGCACCAAGCGAACAAATAAACGAACGAACCGCCCTACACGGCACGTCTCCAGACCCATTCCTGCATTACCGCCTGTGACCAGGAATATCTTTCCTGTAAGATCGGGGACGTCTTCAGGAACTTTCCAAGTCGGCTTCGGCGGCCATTTCTCGCTGAAAGATCCAATGCGCTTGGGTGGCGGAAGCTTTGACGCCGATGCGGACATCGTGTGTGGACGAGCGCAGAACGGAATGGAAACCTTGGCCGATGTGTGCAGCTGGCTCTTTATAACTTACTACGGCCTGCTTCTCACGTTGGTGGGACTGGTTCGAGACGCGAACATGATGGTTGCAGCCAGACTTGATCAGCGCCTAAGTGACAGGAGCTTTCTCAGGGATTACCGATTATCGATTATCGGTTGTCAGCTATCTTTTAATTACTGTTTATATCTACTACGTCGGCGTGATTTGTGGTTATATCAGCGAAATTCTGTAATCCCTGGAAAATACTATGCGGCAAACTGGGACCGGTTTCTCCTGGCCATGGATCCCGGTATTGTGAATGTTATGCCGTTACGCAGCCACGCTCTCGGGCCTTTACGCATTGCTCTTTCTCCACCAACTGTTGGAACCGCATAAATTACAAAAGCCATATGGCCTTATAAATACGGCTATGAGCTGACTGATTGGTTCGCTTCGGAATAGCGTGAGTGAGTGGGAAAAATACGTGATCGCCTAGACCCTAGACCACTTCCAGCGACAACGGCTTGTCCGACACTTCTGAGTCCTCTCTAGCAGGGTGGTTGTATTTTTCGAGGTTCAGCACGAGATCGTTCTGGAAACGCCATACGTCAACGAAAGACTTGGTCACTCGAGAGCGCGCCGCTCACACTGCCATCCGCTTCTGTGCCGCTGGAATGTGTACCGGAGCTTATCGGGCCGAGCACGATGCGCGTGTCCGTCCTGTTCGCCTTGCTCGCTTCAGCATCGCGGCTTAACGTCGTGTTATGGGCAAAGCGAATATCCTCCATGTTTGAGGTAGTTGTGTCTTCTCCATCGCCGCGGATGTAGCGCCGGGCATTTAGGTTAGCGAGGAACGCCGAGAGGTAGATCGAGCATTGCGGGTACTGTGCGATCGCGGTCCAGAAGTCTGTCCCGCTTGCAGTTTCATCCTTTGTAACACGGATGAGTGGCGCGGCATACGCCCAGGATGTAAGGGGACGCTTACGAGAATGAGGGAGATGATTGCGACGGCAGCAGTTAACACTCCAGTGTTGATGATGATGACTGTCAAGCGACTAATAGTTCGCGAGGTCCTGCAGATGACCGGTTTTGAGCGTGGTTCAATGAACCAAAGCGCAAACGCTAACCTCTTGGACCTAAGAGCGCGACTGTCGGCTTGGTCTGAATCCCTGACCAATATGATCATGCCGACCGCGATGAAAAGGTCGACAACAGCAGCGCCGATGAGCCCGGCCCTCTTAAGACGCTGAACGAAGATTAGTCAGAAAATAGCGCAAAGCACTTGTCGCTAGCATACAAACCAAGTTGACTGGGATGAAGATGTTCGCCCTGCCGATCGAAAAGGCCAAGTATGCTATAAGCATGCCTGTCGTTAACGAGCGCTCCGGCAAACAGTATGACAGCCAACTCGCCTACCGTCAAGGCTAGCAGCGGAAAGATCCAGTCGTCAATGAATGCCACCTACATCCACACACGCGTAGATGACTACTCACGGATCTGCGAGACGGAAAGAAGAACCTGGAGAGACAACAATGGGCTTAACGGCTCACCGAATCGACAGTGGAGACTCACAAAGAGAGCGAACATGGCCCAAAGCCACCAGTTTCGGGCGTGGCGGGTTGTGGCGGCAACTATGAACGTCGTATCAGCGCTGTCCATGATCCGGCTGTCCGGGAAGCCTACATTTAGCGAGGCGTCGTAGGTAGTACAGTTGGACGACTATAACTATGATCAGCTGAAGCAAAGATCAGGCTGACCGGTCGGAAGATAGAGGACATGCACGAGAACTCACTCCGACCCAGGCTTCATGCTTAAGAGGTAGAGGTGGGTATCAGCTGAGCGCTCATGTTTGCACGGGGCAGTGTCAACGCACCAGAGCCTCCCTGTAGCAGCGTTATCCTGCTGTTACAAACGCATATGCTGGAATGCTTACTCTGGCGAGGCAAGAATGGCAGAAACACGCCCCCAGTTCTGGATCAAGGTGAACCACGCTGTTGTCAAGTCAGAAGTTATAGGAGACAGCAAGCGCACGACGATACGCACGAATCTTGGTGATAAGAATCTTGTGAGCGGTGTCGACTATTCTGTGAAGCAGAAAGGTTTTAGTGAGGAACATCGGAAGGTCAGTCCCGTGTACATACAAGAGGAATGCAACCTGGGTGCCGTTGTTAGTTAATAGCCGTGAAACCATGTCCATCGCGTCCTTACCAGCGTCTTCAGTGCCCAAGAGTCGTCTGGATAGCTGCATGATGATCATGTGCTATGAGCACAAGAAAGCACTCGACGATAGAGGTATCGACTGACTTCCAATAATATATGTAGCTGGGCCATGGGTCGGTCACCGATGACTACAAAAGTTGTGCAGAAAGACGTACGTCTGCATGACGTTGATACCCCACAGGGCACAACCCAGGTACGCTGCGACAATTAAAGCGCCATACGAAGGGGATAAGTTCAACGTGACAGGATTTTGCACCGTAGAAGGAATGGCTGGAGCAGACATCGTGTACGTTGGACTGGGAGATACTTCAGGGGCGGGTTGAGGCACCGCGCATGTCAGGACCAGCTCCGCGTGGAAGGGTACTTATAACATCACAGGTTGTCATCACGAGCGCCGCGGTCATATGACTGTATCCGTTGAACATTAACCACCAAAAGGGTCCCATGATGCTGAGAACATCAGTGTTCTCAGAAGCCTAGCTACCGAAGCAGACGGAGTGATAGAATGCCAAAATCGTGTCCGACGAAGGCTCGAAGCTGCAAGATTAGTAGCGAAGGCTTTCCAAGAGCGATCCACAGAAGCATACGGATGCGCTGAGGGGCGCTTCGAAGTGTAGTGGGATAAGCAGAGGCGAAGCAAAATACCCACGGAGCGCCACGATATCCTGTGAGTTGCTCGCAAGGCCGGCGCTGACTCGCTGTGGATGGTGACGGCGGGAACAAAGTGATGCAAGGGTCCAGGCTGTACAAAAAATGCTATCTTTAGTTCAGGGTATTGGTCGTATCTTCGGCCAACAGTGTCCGGAGCTCTATAGTCGTCCCGAGTGTTCGCAGCTGGAGTTGAGTGTGATTATCAACCTGAAAGGTCCAGGCACCGGCACGTTCAGTAGAGAAATAAGGTCCAGTAGGCAGAAAAAAAGGCCGGAAGCGGTGAAGAAAGTTGGACGCTCGGCTGATCTTCTCATCCGATCGCTCGTCTCAGCGCCATGAGTCATTTGGCGCGCGCCTGGCGTTGCCTTGCGACGGCTGGACATCGCTCCAGCAGACCAGC